TTCACAAAAATACCTGTGTATTGAGCTGCAAAGAAATCTCAAATTTCTAAGGACTGAACTAGAGGATGTTCTCTAATCAAAATATAATCAATGAGAAAAATCACTAGAAAATTCTCAGGTTTGGAAATTAAGATATGCAGTTTTAAATAACACAAGGGGCAAAGAAGAGACCACAATGAAAACTAGAAAATATTTTGCATTGAATGAAAATGAAAATATGACATCTCAAAATGTGTGGGATGTGGCTAAAACAGTGTTTACAGAAAATCTGTAGCCTTCAACATGCACGTTAGTTAAAAAAGAAAGGCAGAAATTCAATAAGCCACCCATCCATTAAAAGAATTTAGGAAATATGCAAATTACCTCCAAGGAAGTACAACAGGGGTCAGGAAACTTTTTCTGGAAAGAACCAAATAGTATTTTTTTTTTTACAACCCCTTAAAAGTGTAAAAACCATTCTTAGTTGGTGGGCTGTAAAAAAACAGGCTGTTGGTCAGATTTGGCCCATAGGCCACAGTTTGCTGACCCAAGAAGGAAGGACAGAATAAAGATATGAGCAAAAGTTTATGCAACAGAAAACAAATATACAACTGGAAAAAAATTCAACAAAGCCAAAATTTGTACTCTGGTAAGAAAACAAACAAACAAACAAAAAACAAAACAAAACAAAAACCAACGCAAAACAGGAGTGCCTGGCTGGCTCAGTGAGTAGAGCGTATGACTCTTCATCTCAGGGTCGTGAGTACAAGCCCCATTTTGGGCATAGAGCTTACTTAAAACAAAACAACTAGTAAAAATGATAAACTGCCAGCAAGACTGATTAAGAAAAACAGATGAAGGCCAACATTATGAATATCAGGAATGAAAAGAAGCTATTATTACAGATAGCAAGAGGCTATTATAATCAATTTTATGACAATAAATTTGAAAAATTAGGAGAAATAAGCACATTGCTTGAAAAATATAGAAAATCTGAATAGTCTATTAAAGATTAAAGAAAGAAACTAACTCCTTAATTTAAACATCTTTCCTCAAAGCAAACCCCATGTCCCAATGGCTTTTCTATTAAATTTTGGCAATCAACTAAGGTAGAAATAATACCAATCATACACAAATTTTTCTAAAGACTAAAAAAGAAGAAAACTTTCTAGTTTGTTTTATGAAGTCAGCATAACCTTTTCTCTCCTACCAAAACCTGACAGAGTTATCAGAAGAAAAGAAAAGTATAGGACAATCTACCTCAGAAACACAGATCAAAAAACAAGTTCAAAACATAATATGAGCAAAACAAATCTAGTAATTTATTTAAAGGATACCCTTTATGATGAAGTTGAGTTTATTTCAGGAATGCAAGGTTGGTTTGGCATTCAAAAATATCAACCAATAAACTTCCTCACATTAAGAGGATAAAAGAGAAAAATCATATGATCATAAAATGTTTCAACAAATCCATTATGAGTTTTAAAAAATAACACTTGGCAAAGTAGGGTTATCAGAGAATGTCTTTAATCTACTGAATGGTATGAATGGTATCGACAAAAATCTGCAGGTCGCATTATAATGGTGAAACACTGGAATAAGAAAAGGGTCCTTGTTATGACCACTCCGATTCAGCAATGTCCTAGACTTCCTAGCCCAAGCAGGGACAGGAGAAAAAGTAAATGAAAATATGTGTTATAAAAGATGAAATGCAGTTATTATTAGTATTTGCATGTGATATGATTGTAAACAAAGAAAATGCAACATAATCTCTAGTTTAGAAAAGCTAGATACAAAATCAAAACATAAAACTAAATTAATTTTTTTAAGATTTTATCTCTTTATTTGACAGAGAGAGAGAGGGCACAAGGGAATAGCAGAGGGAGAGGGAGAAGCAGGCTCCCCGCGGAGCAGGGAGCCCAACGTGGGGCTCGATCCCAGGATGCTGGGATCATGACTTGAGCCGAAGGCAGATACCGACAGAGCCACCCAGGTGCCCCAAAACTAAATTAATTTTTATATAGTAGCAAAAAAGTTATTAAAATAGCATTGACAATAACATTAAAAAAGAAGAAATACGTGGAAATATGTTAATAAGATATGCAAGACTTCACTAAAAACTAGAAATCAAATAAGACCTATATAAATGGAAGGATATTTCCTGTTCACGAACTGAAAAACTCAACATTGTATGGATGTCAAATCTTCACAAGTTGGATTTTAGATACCATGCAGTCTGCCTCAAATCCCCAATATATTTGTGTCTGTATGTTTGGAACCTGACCAACTGACTCTAAACTTGGCCTAGAGGGGCACCTGGGTGGCTCAGTCGTTAAGTGTCTGCCTTCGGCTCAGGTCATGATCCCAGGGTCCTGGGATCGAGCCCCACATCGGGCTCCCTGCTCCGCGGGGAGCCTGCTTCTCCCTCTCCCACTCCCCCTGCTTGTGTTCCCTCTCTCGCTGTCTCTCTCTCTCGGTCGAAAAATAAAAAAAAAATAAAAAATAAACTTGGCTTAGAATAGGCACGGTACTCTTTAAGAACAGATGGGGGCGCCTGGGTGGCTCAGTCGTTAAGCGTCTGCCTTCGGCTCAGGTCATGATCCCAGGGTCCTGGGATTGAGTCCCACATCGGGCTCCCTGCTCGGCGGGAAGCCTGCTTCTCCCTTTCCCACTCTCCCCGCTTGTGTTCCCTCTCTCACTGTCTCTCTCTCTCTCTGTTAAAAAATAAATAAAATCTTTAAAAAAAAAAAAAAAAGAACAGATGGGAAGACTTCAAGACAGAAATGTCAATAATTAAGGGACGGTGGCATTGGTGCAGACTGGACCATGGGGCCCAATGGGAGAGAAAGCAGAGCTGAGAGGCAGACCCCCCCCCATACACAGCATTTCCTTTATGGCAGAGGGGGCACTGGAGAGTGTTGGGAATTTGAGGGCCTTTGCAGTCGAGGGTGCTGGGTCACTGGACAGAGATCCATGTGGACAATAATGAACCTTGACTCCACTCTGCTGTCACACACAAGCATCGATTCCAGGGAGACCTCAATGGGGAAGGCAGAATAATCAATTTGATGTACCCCCTCTGCTTTATTGGATCCATTTTGCTTCTATCCATCACTGTCATTTTGGGTCTTTGTTTCATGGTCAAAATCTCT